AAATTAGGCATTTTCACGTCGTAGTCGTGCAGTGACGGCAAAGAAATGTACAAAAAAGCGTGATGCACGTGCAAAATTGTTGTTTTGCTATTTAAACCTATTGCTTTTGTGGCGTTCCCGTTGCCGTCGCCGTCGTCGGATCTTAGTCCCTAATATTACCAAGGACTGCGTCCTCTGAAACGATCCGGCATTGCTAAGCAATTGAATGAATGATTATCCTTTATTTAAACACGATCCGTTAAAGCAGTAAATTGCTTGAGCGATAGCCTGCGTGGCAGGTGTATGAAAGGGAAGGGAAAGAAAGTTTTAGGCGCGACAAAAACGCGAGATGCGCGAAACCCTCCCTCCTCGCGCGCCCCTATTCTCTCGCGCCCAAAACCCCCTTTCCCTTCCTTTCCAAACGCCTGCCACGCAGGCTACTTGAGGGGTCGTGTGCCTTAAAAAATGTAATACATTTTTATCTAACCACGGTTTAAGTATAAGATTAAAAAGCTATAAAATGTACATGTAATACTAAAAATATAATTGTGATACTAAAAATATAGATTTCCTTCTTGTGGTGTTGAAGAGTTGGCCATGCACCATTTGTTAAGGTCGTCGAGGGCTTTGTTCAGTAGATTGCAGGCTTCATCAACAGTCGATCCAATACTGTAAATTGTCGAGTCGTCAGCGTACAGGTACAGGTGCCAGAAATCACACTCGCTTCAATTTATGGAGAAGAATATAAATACTATGAGAGACACAAACGACAGCTTTGCGGAAATCCACGAAGGCTGTAGCAACTACCAAATTGTTATCAATAGCTGGTCTCCAGCAATTTTCCAAGTATGGCCTAGCTTTAATTTATAGTCGTCCTTTTGGTTAAAAAATCGGAGAATTTAGCCCACATAACAGGTTTTTACTCTAGCTAAGCGCCCGACGGGAGCCGAGGCAAGCCAAGCGCGAAGAGCGCGAGACGAGTTTGTTTTTGCGCTGTGAACTTTGAGTCGAGGCAGGAGCCCAGAGGCTGTCTTCCCATCGTCCCCCCACGCGCTCACTATTTTAAAATTATTTCTGCTTTATTGGGATCTGTGCGGAAGAAAGGGAGTTTGTTCATACACGTATACGTAGCTGGGGGAGTTAATCATGGTCATGTTGAATTTCTTCGCGATCGGGATTAGACTGGTGTCGAGAGAGCAAGATTAGTGAAAATTAAAGTAGTGATGACGGGAGTGCATGAATAAAAGTTGTTCTCTTTCTACCAGCGCAAACTTTGACTTTTTTCTGGAGCTGGGCATATGGTGGAGTAAGTTTGGGACCGAGATCACGGTATGCGAGGTGTCCATTTGGGGGGGTGTTTGATTGAGACTGTCAGTCCTGGTGTGCCAGTCAACGTTTAACCCCGCCGAATCCTACCCTCAAAATCGCTGAAACCTTTATCTTGAAACGTACTTACAGGGAAACAGAACACGACAGGCAAAACACTAAAACGTCTTTTTACCTTTCATCCCCGTATAATTTTCGCGATCCTCCTAGGGGGGAATTACCGTTAACGGCAAGTTGAATTAGACCCGAGAGCGAAAGAGTTCTTGTTGTGTCCGTTTTTCAAAATGAGATTAAGAGCAAAGTCTCTGATATGTTTATTAGAAGTTTAGTTTATTTATTTGCCCTTCGTTGTAAAAAAAAAAAAAAAAATTACATTTGGTATTCGTAGGTATACATGAGCTAGCCTGCGAAAACGTCCGTTTCTTCTCGCTCTTCGTCCCTGGTGGCGAAGAGCGAGGAGACACGGATGTTTTCGCAGGCTATACATGAGCAGGAGACTCAGCAAGCTTTTCAGAGGAGATCCCCAACTTTACTTATCAATTTTAAAAATTACGATCACATTGTTTGGCGCTTAATATTACAATATAAACTCTATCGAATTTTAATGAACTATGGAAGCTTATCATTTTTGGAATTCTTAATGTGAGTGATACTGTACATATTTCTTCATCATCTTTTTAAATCATGTATTTTTCTTATTATTGCGGAGTTTCACATGGAAAAATAAGCGTTTCGCCTAGTTCTTGGGAACGGAAAATAGTCCAATTTCCATATAATGCAATATCGCTTCCGAGGTTTGGGGATTGAAGCAGAATGCGTCAATCTAGTCCCTAGTCCTTAGCCAGAGGACCTCTTCCCCAGAAGGCACGGGAGTTTACACGGGAGTCGGGACAACTCGGGACTGTAGTACCTGTTACCAGTCTCTTTCGGGGCGTTAGTGCATTTGCAATATTGCTGACTTCAAGTGGAATCAGGCAGGGAAGTCGAATAGGAAGTCTTGGCTAGCATTTTTCACATTGAGCGTAAAAATTACCTCAGGTTGGAAGTCATGAGACGAAAAGGCTAAGAAGTCTTACAAGCAAGTGAAGTTTTACGGCTTTTTTCAGTGTGGTGTTTTGATCTTCTGATCTCGTAATCTTGCATCTGTTGAGCCGTTCATTCGATTTATTCGCGGTGACAGAGTTGCTCATCGATTTAAAAATTTGTACATTGGTCTTGTTCACCTTTTGCAAGTAAGTTACGTTATATTTTATAGTCGATGAGGCTGTCTTTTGTCTGTTCTTTGATACAGAACCTTGCATATCCGTATAAATGAACAGCTGAATGAAGTAAGCGACGGGCAATTTCTAAAACTAGATGCATAACGTAATAAGACTTTATAATCCGGCTGACTTTAATTACGTATACTAAATGAGTAAGCAAAAGGTTTTGTAGGCAGGTGCTTTGATTGTCGCTCACTTGGTTGTTTTTGTTTTTGTTTTATTTTTACTATAAAGCAACTCTAGATGCATGTACATGCAGTTTATCATGCTTGCACTGTACAAGACAAGTGAAAACAAAATAAGAAAGAGTCATAAGCTATTAAAATAAAATTTGTCATTTACAATAAAACGTGTCATAAATGAGAAGCTTAATATTGACAATATTTTCAGGCCTGTTTGGGATTGTCACCTTCTCGCTTGTCATTTTTTCATTGTTGTTTTGGTTTTCTGCACATTTGAAGTTTGATGTCTGATACTTTATACATTTTTTATTAGCGCTCAGTGATGTTATCAAGTTTCGTAATATTGTATGATGAAGTTTCCCAGTCTCCAGTGGCAACTGACATTTGTTTCTTGGTGTAATTTGTGGTTTTCAATTAATATACCAATAATTGCATCTACATCTGTTCTTTCAAACCCTTCAAACAGTACACAATGTAGGACATCTTCTTTCTTTTGTGATCACATGTACCTGTTATAAATCTAAAATCTGGACAGCTGCGGAGATTATAACTTTGATGATATATTGACTTTGGAGTGAACCTTTGATATTTAAACTCAGACTTGGTTAGCTATTTACTACTGACATGATCACAAGACTGTTGGGCATCCCCCAAAACAGCTGTTTGGATTTGCATTTTGTCTATCTTATGTTAGCCTGCATTACAGGCATTTTACGAGCCAAGTGAGGTGAATGCAGCATTTTGCATGAAGTGTGAGATGAGTGTGAAGCGTGAGGCAAGAGGAGGAGAAAAAATAAAACGTCTGCTACCAGTCCATTGTTCAGGCTCTCAATAATTATTATTGACTGAGGGCCGTGGTGTCAAAAGGACCAATCAAAACGCGATCCAATATTTGCATGAAAATTGTCATCTTTCTGGCTAACAGAAACATCTGCAGTAAGATAAACCACAGGAAATAAAATTAAGACTGCAGCAAAGCTTATGAGTAGTGTTTGGCCTGTCAACACTTTGTTTCAAAAAGGTGGTAAATCAGGCTTTTTCCAAACTCAGTTGGAAGCAAAATTATCTAAGAACATCCTTCCTCTTGACTTTGGGAAAAATCTTAAATATATTGTCTTTTGTTTTTCCTTAAGTTTATATCTGGAACATTTGGAAATAAACGAAGGAGTAACTACAGAATACCTTGCCACTTTGAAGCTGTATCCCCGTCAAAAGAGCTGGATAATTAAGTGGATACACTGTTATCCCTTTTATGCACTTTTCCTCCTCAGTCTACTGTGTGACGGCCATTTTGATCCAGACAAACAAGCCAGAATTTCGACAGAACAACACATCATCAATTAACTAATTGGAATGCAACTTTCATGTAGTAAACATGGGAAGAGCCAGAACGATGGACTGGTCACAGACGCTTTATTTTTTCTCTGTCTCTTGCCTTGTGCTTCGTGCTCACCTCGTGCTTTGTATGAAATGCTGCATTTGCCTCACTTGGCTCATAGAATGCCTGTTATACTGGCTAATCTCACATGGGCCATTAGTTGCCACTTTTGTTCATGTAACTATCCCTCCATTAGAAAGGTATTATAAAAACAGTTGAAATGAATATTTTTGTTTGAAAAAGGCAGCATGTCATAGTTTAGAGCAAAGCAGTCATTTTTTTGAAAAAGTTATACATACATGGAAAATTCAAAAGAGATAGTTTTCTAGAGTATTATTTAAGCAATAGACCACACCGGCAAACCCATGCAGGATGTTGGGAGAGCACGAGAAAAGCTTGTAAATCATGAGCTGCATGCAAGTAATTTACAAGCTTTTCAAAGTGTTCTCCCAACATCCCAAGTGGGTTATCACGCCGGTAAACCCATAGAAAGTGTGGTCTATTGCTTTTATAAAATAACTTTAAGTTTGAACTATGAGTTTACCGCCACAAGAAACCATAGGTTCTTAACCAATCAGAACGCACGTACTATCTTAGTTATTTTATATGCAATGTGCAAGCCAGGAGAAAACACTTACATACCCCTCAGAGCTCTATACCGAAAAAGAAAGGATTAAGGTATTCTTCTCTCAATTCCCCTTGTTTCAGATTTCTACTAGGAGATCTTTGATTGATACCAAGGCCTTCTAGCTTATGTCAAAACGTGAAATTGTGCTGTGTGTGTGTGTGATCACAAAGAAGACTTTGAAATTGATTTTATTGTGCCTTCACCTACTCTTACTTTCTTGTTTTCTTTCTTAAAGGGCTACTAAAATGAGTTATCCACCACCATCTGGGGGCTTTCCCATGTATGGGCCTCCTCCTGTACCAGGGGGAGGATCCCAGTATCCAGCCCCTGGAGGACCACCACTAGGATTTGACAGCTATGCCAGCCAACCTTCATATGTAGGTGCCACTCCTGGGGTAAGTGTATGTAGTTTTTATTTGCCTGACTATTAAGTCATCTCTCATTCGGTGTCCTTTACCAGGACTGTCATTAAGTTTTAAACATGAAAGATTTTAGCTGTAGCATCCTAAACCATGGCCAGCGTCCATGTAAGTACAAAAGGTCCGAAGGGCCTGAGTGTCTAGGGGGGTGGGCCTCAAACATGGCAATGATTGAATGGTGGTAAGCTTACAGTACCTTTATTAAAATTGGTGTTATTTTTAATACGTTGGTCTTTGGCTCTCTTAATACCTCTAAAACAAGCCAAAGTATTATCATGTATTACTTGGTTGCTTGTGTGTAGTAAAATCATTTGTTAAGACCTTTAAGTGACTGAACAGTCCATGCATTTTGCCCACCACAGTACCCACCTGGTCCAGCTATGCCCATGCCCACCCCTGAGGGCTCTTCAATGTATCCTGGAATGCCAGGTCAAATGCCAACAGCAATGCCTCCCCCTATGCCATCAGGTAAGTTGAAATGTATTTCAGGACTGTGTTGTCTAGTAGGTGCACTGTAATTAGCAATAATTGAATAAGGCTGAGTACATAGTTGCATGATTTAGAGAATTTTTAGGGAGGTCGAGGAGGTGGATGACACCCTCCTAGATCGGTATAATTCTTCAGATCATATGAAAGCAGGTTCTGTATCCAATGATTTATTGTTTTATTATAAAATTTATTCAAAATAATGCCTTATAGAGGACTTCTGACTGACTTGCATTGCTCAAAACACCTTTGCTTGTATTAAGCTCCCAGCTTAAGTAATGCAACTTGGCAGCAAATGAACTGCCATACTGGTGAGTCTGAGATCATGTGCTTTAATTTATAACTGTAATGTATAGATGTTTAATAAATGACCGGATGCATGCTTTATGGAAGTATTGAGTAACAAAATTTTTCCGACTTCATGGTGCAGTTGAATGCCTTATTTTTTTTAATTTGTAATAAATTAATAAAATAATAGGTATGCCAATGCCCTCTCCTAATGCTGGGATGCCTGCACCGCCACATGCTGCTGGTCCTTATGGGGCCCCTCCTTCCATGCCACAGCCTGGCATGGGCTATCCATCTACTGGACATTTATCATTTGGGGTGAGCTTAACATTTATCTTAAAAGGATGTAGCATATAGAGCAAATATGCAACTTGGGTGAAAGATAGAGAAGCAATGATTCATGTACAAATTGTTCATTGGTAAAAGTGAGACATTTTTTTTCACTTCTATGTAAGCTATAGACCACATAGTAAGTATTATTATTAGTGTTTGCTAAATGGCTACAAAAATGAATACTGTCAAGAATTAGGTAATTATTTGAATTACAAGGTAACTTCAAATTTCACCAGTATACATGCATAAGAATGCAGGACCAAATGACTATTTATACCTTACTCACCTGACAAGACCAGTTTATAATGAGAGTATAAAATTCATATAAAAGTTGACCCTGACTGAACATGGTGTACATGTTCTAAGTATTATTTTACATTGTACTCACTATTTGTCCTCTCATTGGCTATAAGAGCCTACGGTTGATTTTGGAAATCTGGGCAACCTACAGATTAGATAGTCATCTGCCGGGAGAAGTGACTATCTGTAGGTTGGGTGTGCCATGCATGATTTCCAAGAGCAATGCTAAACTGTGTTCTATGGGATGGTTTGTTTGCTGTCATTTTCTTTAAAACAAACTATAAATAAAACGATATTGTTAGATTTGGTTTTTTGAAGATACCAGGAATAATCAAGGTCTCAGTAAGTGTTATCAGCCTCAGCCTTCACCCTGGCTGATAACACTGTTTTTATTAAAATACCTTGGTCTTGAATTTTTGGATATCACAGTGGAAACCTCATCCAATAATCATGCAAAATCCATTGTTATATAATTTAGACCAGTATTCAACCTAGTTTGATTTAAAATTCCCTTCATTTTCTAGCCTTAATTAATCATAGGAGACAAATGAAATTCTGCTTTAACCTCTGCCCTGTACGGCATACATGTTACAGATCAAAATAATATCAAAATCAGAGTAAAATTTTTTAACCTGGGTCAATTGTCATTCCCTTTGTCCCCTTATTCTAATTCATGAAAAATTAGTGCCAGGAGACAAAGGTTAAATTGAGAATCAATTTGGGTTAAACAATTTAAACCTGAATTAGTAATTTTGACCTGTAACATACCCACCTTACATATTTTGGTTAAGATGTGCACTTTAAAATAGCTCAGATCAGTTTATCTTGAAATGTTTTAGGGTGCAGCAATGGCTACTGCTTCATTTCCGAGCCTCTACAAGAGTCAAGTTGGTCCACCTCAACCTCAGCCTAACTTGTCCATGGTTAGCTATTTGTTTCTCACTTTTGTCAAATCTTCAGTCTGTGACATTTTCTTTCTTTGTTCAATTAATGGTCTTTCCTTCCCTGAATCCGCTTAACATGAGGAAGCTTAAGATTGCTTGCATGCTACATACTTTCAATCAGTTTCAGTTGTACTGCAGAAGAATTCTCACCAAAGATGCATCTCTCCTGAACCCAACAAATAAATTGACAGTGGAACAGCAAAGATAGTGGCCGGAAAAAATCATTATTGTATTAAACAAATCAGTTTAATGGTTTTGCAGGTGCATTATGCATACTGGTACACTATTTTCTTTGTCATTCTCTGCTAATTTTCAGGTTTTGCAGAGAATGTGAAGACATGACAGTTACTTTTACTTATTTTCCTCTATGAATCTTAAACCTCTTCAGGGCCTCAGGACCTGAGCTCAGTAATGTAAGATAGACAAACAAACAAATTGGAACTTTCTTAAATTATCTAAAAAGCTTAGATGCCTACAATGAAATAGCAGAAGCCATATCTTTGTCAGAAAGGAATGACTTGACTTGTTTTATGCTGCAGGAAATAGTACAGTTATGTACTACTGACTTAAAACGCTCTGTCACGTCCTTTGTAGGCTCCACCTCCGAGTGCTCCCCCTGCTGCTGGCATGCCATCTTCCCATCCTCCACCCCCTGCGGCAGCATCATCTTACTCAGCCTCATCCTCATACGTGTCATCATCATCATCGTACTCATCACACTCTACGTCCACTACCAAGTCTGGATCAAGCCATCAGGTACAAATTTAATGCTCATTTAATTAGTTAATGGCAATTAAGTTGTATCAGAATCGCCTCATGTAAGGCGATCTAGAGTTTGGAATCCGAGAAATCTGTGCTTGTTGAATCTAGATTGGGTGATTCCAGAAAATATCCATACCCTACCATGGGTGGCATGAGTATTTTAACCCCCCCTTGCACTCGAAAATTCCAAAATGCTTATCCCCCCCTTACCCTCCGAATTCCAAAATCGCTAACCCCCCCCTCTCCTCCGGAATTTTCCACTTTTGTTTCAGACCCTTTGGAATTCCTGTCCGTTTAAGGATATCAGTTCCTGGAATAAATAGTTATTTCGAGGAAAAATAACTATTTAGAACTGAATGATCAAAACACTTGCGCATAAACAGTTTTGAATTAAACAGCGTATCAAAAGACACGCTGTCGGATTTTACTACCTACATGTTGGTGTGAAAATCGGCGTGAAATACAAAATCCGTCAGGCGTTCTATTTGGAAACGAGAGACTGGTGCGAGTTTTCAGCACGCAACAACACATCGTCAATCAACAATCGGCAAGAAACACCGACTTGGTTATATTTTTATTAATCAGTTGACTAATTCATCAACTTTAAGGCCTCTTCGATGTGGAGCTTGCTGCACAACCCATCTGCTTACCCATCTGCATGAACGCATACTTCTTCCGTGGTCGGTTCGTGCTTCATTTACAAACTGGGAATGTTAACAGGTCAGCGATTTCAAGCGGAGCTTTCGCCATCTTTCCTCTGGAAATTCACTGAATTCAGAGATGAAACACCCCCCATGCCTTTGGAATTCCAAACTACGTTACCCCCCACGTCTTCGGAATTCCAGTCCAAGAAACCCCCCCCTCTCCCTCGGAATTCCAAGATGCCGCCCGTGGTATGGTATGGATATTTTCTGGAATCACCCATTCTGAAAAAATTTATGCTTGTGAAATCCGGATTCCTAAGCTTTGGAATCTGTAATTCAATGCAGCTAAAGGACTCTAGAACTCTGCTAATGAATAGAATCCGGAATCCAGAAAATCAATCAATCTATCAATCAATCATCTTGATTTAACGAGTCCAAAACATGTTAACTCATGGCTAGTTAGAGAGTTGTTATTTAAAGCATCATTGTCCCAAAAGCGAAATCAAAACCTGTGCCATTATGTGTGTCTCTATGTATAGAAAGGTTTATCTTTCACAATTTTGTCTAATGTTTGTGCGATCGGCGTTTCCAGTTAGCCTAACTCAATTTTTTTCTTTTTCAGTCTTCAACCAAGCGAGCATCTGTCAAAGTTCGTCAAACAACTTTTGATGCGCAGAAGGACGCTGAAGTGTTAAGGAAAGCTATGAAGGGATTAGGTATAAAACGCACAAATGTCCTCTAAAGTCTCTTTGTGGACTCTTATGCCCCTCTTTTCCCCAACCTCCTTCACCCCTGGGACTTGCTTATATGGTCACATGGCTGATTCATACTAAAACACTTTCAAACCTGTTTAATTAACATATGTACACCTCAACGTTGAAACTCGACTTTTGCAGGAAGAAGAGACTTTTCAAACCATACCCAAATGAGCGCGATTCAGTCAAACAGGCGAAAGAAAAACGCAAAAAATTATATAATTTGGAGCAGATGATTCTGCGTGGAAAATCTCGTTTTTTGCACTACCCACCAGTACACTTCCTTCCAAGTCATTTCGGGTCCTCGCAGGGTTTAGGGTTTCGTGAAAACGCTTGCCAACCTATTAAAACATGGACCTGGACTGAAGATTTACGTTTCTGGTGTGAACGACTATGAGATCGCCTCGTTCTCCTACGCGCAGAGCAAAATGTATATATGGGCAAAAGAAATGAGAACTATGAGAGAAGAAGTGTATTGGGCTATCAAAGCAGTTTTCGTAGATAATTATGCTTCTTATCTGTTTTTTAGGATGTGATTCCAAAGCTATTATTACGTTGCTTTGTTCGCGAACAAATAGCCAGAGACAACGGATTGAGTTAGAATACAAGACAATGTATGGCAGGGTAAGCCTTTGATGCTCTCCATCTGGTTATGTTTTTGCGTGATGTTTCAGCAAGTTAGCCATTAGCTGGCTAAGATTTAACCATTCAAAATCCAAATTGATCATCATTAAGTTTCCCCCTTGAAGTGTGGATGTTTAGTTGACGTTCAGAAGAATGAAGCACGTGACAACCCAAGCCGATAAATTTTGTTGATAACACAAGAGCATTTTTCTCCCAAAACTTTAGCTACATGTCGTTCTGATGGAATTTAAGGAGACGACGTTATTTTGCGCTACAAAAACAGGAGAACACGCACAATATGCCAGCGATCACTTGGTCTTACTCGGTCTGACAGCTTAGCTAGAAAAGCGAAACAAGCCTCTCGCTCGAAACGGAAACTGAAACGGAGAACAAACAATGTGATCATTACTGGTGGTTTTGTTTGTTTGTGATTATTTTTGGAATTTTCCTGTACGCGGCAATGCACGACAAGCTTACACGTAGTCTTAGAAGTGCTGACTGTTAGTAATTTTGTCGCCCTGCAGGACCTTTTGAAGGATCTTAAATATGAACTGGGTGGTCATTTTGAGGACATTGTTCTTGCTCTTATGATGCCTCCCGCGGATTACGATGCTACTTCACTGAGAAAAGCCATCAAGGTAAGTACAGAATTTATCGGTTTTCGCTAGAAGGGAGGGTGGTGTTTTAAAGGGGGCAGTGGGTGGAATGAGTGCAATGAACCAAATCCTGCAGTGAAAACCAAGGGCCTATCCCCCTATCTCGGCTTACAGGATAGCGGGATAGGCCTGCTTGGGATTTTGGGGGCCAATAAGGTTTCTGACGAATCCAATTCGTGTAGTTCATTTTACACGCATGAATTTGGTTAACTAAAAGTCATCCCGTAGATACTTAAAAGCTGCCGATTAGTCCGTTAGTTGCATGCTGGCTTCTTTCTTTCGCTGCTGATCTGTAACTTTGCATGTAACTACCGCCTTTGAAACCTTGGGAGAGGGCTTTTTTAACTGGCCTTCTTTTTATACCCTTCTTTTGCTTGTTCACTCCCTTAAACTGAATTAAACACTGGCAGCATACTGCCCCTCACAATTTATTCAATTTGCTTCCGTGTGTTTTTTCAGGGTCTCGGAACAGATGAAGGCGTTTTGATTGAGATTCTGTGCACAAGAAGTAATTCAGAGGTCACTGCAATAAAACATTCCTATCAAAAGCGTGAGTTGGCGAAATAGTTATAGTGGACAGCTATTTCAATTTTAAGGCCTCAGGCTAAAGCAATATGGCTGCAAGGTCGCGTGGGTAGTTTCTTTGTAATTCGGTCGTAACTTCGCAGTTGTCAGTGCTATAGAATGGTATGAAACATCACTAGAGTTTACCTTTACGATTTCACGCCGGATGGCAGAGTTGGGTAAATTTTTGTGAAATTACCTATAATATTTCTATGCGCTCTCAGTCGTGGTCGTCGTGGGATAGTCTTTTCGTCCAACACCGTTAATTGAAATAGCGGTATTTGAAGTATTTAAATGAGAAATTATTGAAGTTGTGATCATCTGAACGAACTGAGAAGAGATAATCTTAATCACAGCAAGCAAGTTCTTGCCAATTTATTAAAGATCCTGGTTGGTGATTCAGGTGGGGTTTTGAACTTGTGAAGCTAGTCTTGACTAAAACCAAGCTTACTCATTTACCCAAGTTACACCTTTCCGTTAATACTTTCTCTGGCTAATGAGAACATGCGTTTTGTTGCATGTCTCAAGTGTTCAGCCGACAGTTGGAAAAGGATGTTGCAGGAGACACTTCTGGTTATTTCAAGAAATTCCTCACTTCACTTCTACAGGTAAAATTCATAGTCATAGTCATTTGCAGTGGCGGATCCAGGGGAGGGGGCCGGGGGGCCCGCCCCCCCTTATTTTAAAACCAAACTGAGGCCCGAAGAGCCGAAAAAAAATTTTCTTGGAGACCGCCCCCCCCCTTTTCTAAGGGTCTGGATGCCCGGGCCCCCTCCCCCCTTATCTCAGGGTCTGAATCCGGCACTGATTTGGGATTAGAACAAGCTCACAAGAATTCGCGGGCCAGGCGATGGGCTTTTCTCTTCATGAAAGATTTTCTTTTCTTTTTATTTCTCTACTTTTTCCTTAACAAGATCATAGATAAAATTGGTGTAAAAGTTCGGTCAATTTAAAAATATTTCATGATGACCCTTTTACAATATTAATGGAGAGGAGAGGGGAGGGAAGGGGAGGGAAGAAGGGGAGTGGAAGGAATGGGTGAGGAGGCGATGGGGAGGTAGGAGGGTGTGACTGCTGTGTCCAAGTAAGGAGTTAAGATCCCTTTACGCATGCCCAATTTTTTTCACCTAGTATGTGGCAAATCTTCGTGTATTTGTTTTCCAGGTGCTTATCCGTATTAAGCTGTTTCGTTTTCTGTTATTTCTACAGGCCTATAGAGACGAAAGCCAATCTGTTGATTTTGGTAAAGCTCAGGCAGATGCGAAGGTACGTTGCAGAATTTTCCTTTATTAGAGAAAAGAAAGTTATTAAAAACTGCAAGCTTGGGAAGACGGCGCACTCAAGTGTTTCTTGATAATTTGTTCTTTCCTTAGAATAAAAGATATAAACAGTAGTTGTAAGTAATTAGTAGTCTATAAAAATGTTTACTTACTTTTTGAATCGAATAGGGATTTGGAATTACTGGCTTTTGAGAGGACGATAATACTGGAAAAACGGGAGAAAACCTCTCGGAGCAAGGAAGATAGCCAACCAAAAAACTCGACCCCAATATGAACACCGAGCTAAATCGAACCCGGGCCTTAAAGCTTAATTATTAGCCGTGCCGGACTTGACATGACCATTATAACAACTTGGTCCAGTTACTACTGTTGGCCTGTTATCGTCTCTAAAGATGTAAGTCGATGGTTCGAGCGCCGGGTGGTCAACAAATGATTTGTCCCCTGTGCCACACCTTCGCCATAAATAAACTGGACTAATCCATTTCCTTGCAAAAGCCATTATGTACGGAAATGTCGCTGCCAAACATAGAGCGATGCTTTGAAAAGCGTCCTCTCGCAGGTTAAGCTTACTGTTGTCAAATGTACGCTTTTTCAACTTGTGTGTAGGCGCTGTACCAAGCAGGGGAAGCCAGATGGGGAACAGACGAATCAAAGTGAGTTTTGTATGTGTATAATAAAAGATTATGCAGTCGTTACGTAACCTAGTACGTAACCAAGCATTTATGTATTTGTTTTGCATAGAACTAATTGAAAAATGTTTTAATTTTAGGTTTAATATCATCCTTGTCTCACGGAGTTTTCCCCAGTTAAAGGCGACCTTCGATGAATACGCCAAGGTAAGCTATGTCTTCTCATTCTTCGATTTGACAAAACTTTGAGTTAAAACTTTCGTCATAACGCTCTGCAGCCCACCGGTTTATCTTCTTACTTGAGGGAATTTTCTATAGTTTCCTTTAATCTCCCGTTTTATGGGTCTTAAAAAAAAATTAGAAGGGGTAAAATGCTCATTTTACTTGAGACGAGCTAGGCTCTTTGTCCAGTGTGTCAGTGAGGAATAGTCGTGAGCTATCTTGTAAGTGCTACCTTCCAGTTGTGATTTTCCCGCTCTCCTGGTGAGAGGTTCTGTGTCAAGCTATTTGCAATCTATTTAAAAAGCTTAAATGTGCCTTCGGATCAACTAAATTCCAAAAATAATTGTTCATTTTTGTTATTTAAGACTATATTTAGGCATTGAAACTGTTTCCTTTCGTCTGTTGCTAGAGATGGCAAGGATGGAAATGGATTGAAACTTGACCAAGTTGGGTCAAGTTTTAATGTCATGACTGCAGAAATCACCAAAAAAAGTACTATGGTTTTTGCTGTAATGAAATTTTTTTCATATCTTCAAAACTCTACAGGAGCATTTTGTGTATTGGTTAAGGCAGCAAGTGCTGACTTATCACAGAATTGACCAAGAACAGTAGTATCCTCGTGACATAGCACTTTTAACGCTGTTGATAGTGCTACGTCAGTTCTGTATGTACTTCATATACTCATGTTTCTTTTCAGATTTCCAAATATGACATTGAAGAGTCAATAAAGAGGGAGATGTCTGGTGACTTAAAAGATGGAATGACTTCTATAGGTAACACTGAAGAAATGATGATTTGAGTGCTTGCGTTTTTTTAGGCCATATCTTCAGTTTATTTCCGTCTTCACTGACATCAGTTTTTTTTTCGCCGCAGGCTGGGTCAAAAAATGGTTAATAAACTAACATTTTTTATCTAAGCCTCTTTTTTTTGTTCTAAGCCTCTCATTTCACTGGTCCCCTTTAATCTGCACTTCCATTGTTTTCAGGGATAGAGGCATTGTTATGTCACAATCCCTATTGTTTTCCTAGCTAACCAAAAACAATCTTTCAAATAGGTGCAGGATCGCCCTATCATTCCCGTCATCCTTAATTTCCTGTTTTTCATTTCAGTTCGGATTGTGAGGAATTCGCCGGCATTCTTTGCTGAGAAGCTGTACAAGAGCATGAAGGTGGGTAAACGATTTTCTTCGTGAAGTCTTCGCGAAAGCTAACTCGGCCCAATTTCCTTCTCGTTTCTTAAGTGGTGGATACAAACGGGAGGACTGGGACTCAGGGAGCTAATCCGACGAATCTGTTTTAAAATATTTGCCTTTGAAATGATTTCGTCCCATGAATGTAAACTTCTAGCTAGAACACCTATCTTTCGTCTTGTTTAGGGTCTTGGAACAGATGATGCCACCCTTATACGAATCATTGTGACGCGATCAGAGGTGGATCTGCTGGACATTAAGGACGAGTTTGCCAAGTTATATCATTGCTCACTGGCTAAGTTTATATCGGTACGAGTCATATAAATGTCTTTAATATTTTCATCTTACAAAGGTACTAGGTCCTGGGTAATCCCAAGTAAGGCTTCCGGAGATGAATCCTGTTCATTTTAAGCGAGTGTGCTCGATGTCCTATTCAGACGTTCCGTCACCGACATAGGGAGAAAGGTCACTGGGTGTTTGCTTGCCTGGGGCTCGTTTCTCGAAAGTCCCGATAATTAACGGACCCGTAAAGCTGTTTGGGTTTACATGAAAGATAGACGTCTCAATAGTTTTGCATCTAACATGATAAATCTATCAGTTAACGACGCAAAATGGAGTAGTTTGCCAGCCAGGACTCGGGCTCATATTCTTTATATTTCGATTTGAGTATTTGATTTCGGGCCCGAAAAGTTACCGGGACTTTCGAGAAACGGGCCCCTGGTTTCTAATTTTTCTCCAAGGGCCTCTTTCTTTTAGCCGTTTGGAAACAAGGTTGGCTGGAGTTGAATGTCATTATCGTTTTTCTCTTACAATCAAGTAGCTCCTAACCTCGAAGTGTGCTGTTGCCAAAGTAGTGACGATGTAACAAACAAAGGATACTTCCGACTTTCACACACGTAGAGAAAAACTGGCCTCCGTTTTTTGGTTTGTCTAAAGTTATACCTGAATGCAACCCTATTTTAAATCCTTTGTAATTTTGTGTACCCCACCCTCCTTCTGCAGTGTAAAGCGTTGCTTTCAATTGATACTTCAGTCACGTCAGTCCTATCTGGACTTGAAGGAAACTGCTGAATTAGCCCTGACTTGCTTCGCCTAGTGCCTCAAACTTTACCTTTCTTTTCAAAGTTCTGATGCTTTTTATATGAGTAAGGATATCTTTGAACTCAAAAAGGTCTCAAAGAGGCAGTGAAACACCTACATTTAAGTTTTATTTGGAGTGACGAAGAGTTCGCGTTCGAAGTGCCAGCCTTTGAATCTCTCTTGAAGTTTGAACTGCAACTCCTACCAAGTAAATATTTTTCTTTTCTTTTTTCAGGACGATACACGAGGAAATTACAAGAAAATTCTCCTTCAGTTAATAAGTGAATAGAATTAGACTTTCGCTTAATGTTTATGCAAAAGCTTATTGTGCTTTTCATCATCGGCATTATTATGGGTTAATTTTAAATGAATATGGGCTGTTTCCTTGATCATGTGAGAAATGTTAATTTAAGTCATTAGTATTACATTCACCGAGATTGTTACCATATAGGGTGAACTTTCTAATATATGTTTTCTTTGGAATAAATACACAATTTGTCCGTGTTCTGGTTTTGCTGAAGTTTTTTTCCCCAGTTGAAGACATTTTTTTTGACGCCCTTTTCAGGTTTATCATAAACATTTTCGTAATGCCGAACCATTTATTTTATTTTATTTATTTATTTATTTATTTTTTCATGCATGATGATTAGCCTTACTGACCTCGTTAGCATGTATACAATTCAACCTCGTTCCCTGCAGGGTAAGAGAGGACCCTGGGAACGAGGTTATTGCACAATTGAAAGAAACTTTTAATTTCAAACGAGGCCAGAAGAGCGCAACACGTAAGGCTTAGAAAGCTTTCTTGGACAAGAGCACGTGGGCCTAAAAATTTAGGCGAACGATTTCTAATCAACGTGTCAACGATCGTGCGCAACACAAGGAAACAGTAAAATGCAAATGTTCTGGTCTGCAATATCCTGCGCAATGATACGTAAGAGCTTAAGTTTTGAAGTTGCCCAGCAAACACTTCACTCCACAGCCTATTCCGCGGTTACCTCGTTTCCAAGCTGTAAGGAAAACAGAGAGCTCAGGGTCGTCTTCCCAAGACACCATGAGCACTGCGCAAGAGCAGGGAAGATTAAGAGACCTGGACATTAGGCGGTTTATCGAGTACTGTACATCATTCAAGAGAAGGCACCACGTGCGCGCTGTAAAAGTAAGGCGGGTTTCCTGGAGACGAAGAAGCTTCTTGACGTAACAGTTGCTAAAATGGAAAAGGGCTGGAAGAGGTGGTCGGAGGCAGCGATAATCAAATATTATAATATTATAGATTTCCAATTTTCAAGAGCAAAGTGTATAGGATAATATTTGCCGTAATGTTTCACAATTCCACAATACAATTGGTTGACGAAATGGTCTTGGATTCCCCATACAGAAAAAATCACGAAAGCTTCAATTTTCCACTTCATTAGAAGTCAAATACCAGTCGTTCATCGACAATTTACCGGTGTTCCCCAAAACAGATGACGGTCTATGGATGACGTTCTGTACCCGTTGCTGTTGTCTTCATTCAGCTGTTAAACCGCAGACTAAGGCAGTTAGTATTCAAATTACGCCACTAGCAGCAGTCGCAAAACTCTTGGAAACCTTAAATTCCACCTTGTGGAACCCCAGTCGAACTTCAACTTCTGGTAAGTCTCGTCCAACTTGTGTTTGACATTCTCTTCTCCTGACACGAACGTCTATTATTTCACCTCTGTTGGTCATTTGTTCCTGTTGTTTGCGGTTTACGTTTTTCTTACCCAGTCCTGGAAGCTGTTCCGAGAGCTTCCATGGTGGCCCAAATTAAGGCTTTCACTCGAAAGTATATACGACAGGACAATCTGGTGCACTAGGTGGTGCACTATAAGTAAGGAAAATGACCTTTGAAGTCGAATAATAATTTCGTCGTCCGAAAAAAAAAAAGAAGTTATTGTCGATTACTAAAAAGGTAGTTTCGAGTATCTCGGTCAAACCTCTCAGGGCAGGCCCCTTATCCCTCCCGCCCCACCCACTGTAACTCTTCATAACTCTCCTTTCAGTCAGCTGGAAGTTTTGATCGTAAGCAGCTGGTTTCCCTGAGTTCAGATCAAGTTTTCCAGTATCATAAATTAGCAAAGTCTGTCATCCTAAAGATTCATGGTTAATTAGCTGTCCAATTTTTAGGTAGATTTTACAGTTTTGCATTGATCACGTTGCAAATAATCGCTGTAAAATATACCTGGATGTTCTTTGGGTTGGCTATCCTACTCTCTTAATCGACATCTGTACATGTGTCGTTTCTAAATTCTACTTCTTCGTTGTGTGTCGTGCGTTAGTTTTATTTCTTACAATCAAATTAACTTAATGCAGTGTAAGACATTTTGTCCAGATTGATTTGCAATATGATTACCAAGATACAATTAGTGAGGAACAGATAATTAACGCCATTATTTTGTCTACAACGGCCGCGCCAACAGCAAGGTATCCAAGAATAGCCAAAATAACATTTTAGGGAGGTCCCTTGATGAATTTTTAATCGGTCGTGACAAGTTATCATTCACTGTCTTTCTACTTGTAGTTTTATTGTTTAGTTACTCACAGCAAGTACCACAGGTGTGGTATTGTCAGTTAAGTGGAAAATCTCAATCACAGTTCTCTCTAATTACGAAATTTTTGGATGGTGAAGATTTCCCGCGAGGAAGGTAACGCGAGAGAATGGTAAGTACTACAGTTACGAGAGATATTGATCATTGCTGTTATTAATATTTCCTTTTTTTAGCGTCTTTTAGACCTATAACGAGTCATATTGTTGTGTCTGCTATAATTTCTCGTCGTGACGTCTTTGACTATAATACTTTCAAATGATATCTTTAAATCACAATATTTTTCCTAAACGTTAAATCTACTGTAATTACAAATCAATGGTTCTTAAATTTACAAAATCGTCGAGATGGGCCAATCGTAATTCTTGGTTGAACCTTTTGCTTCGCTGTATTTGAAAACGTTTCTTCGACACCTACCCTTCTTGACTGCAGCTTTAGTGGGTCGATTCAGTTACTGTTATTTATTGAGCAAAACAAAAATTTAAATCTGATTAGAGAAAGAAAAAGGTAGATAGCTATCTTATGAAAGCGAAATTATATTACTGATATTTTAACTCGAATTTGATTACGGATAAATTTAGCGTTCGCTTTGCTGCATGCGCCGTTTAAGGTCTTCACGACACGGTCCTCATGAAAACAAAGCAAATTGGTTTATCTACCGTCTTATTTTTTTTTTAACTTCGTTGAAAAAGTAGCGCTAGTGAAAGACACTTTGATAAATAAGGAGTTGTATCTTTACTTAGAGTCTATATTTTTTTGTCATTACAGCGAGAGTGCATATCGGTACATATCGGGCAAGCCGGGGTTCAAATCGGTAATGCGTGTTGGGAACTGTACTGCTTAGAGCATGGCATTCAACCGGATGGTCAAATGCCGAGCGACAAGACCTTAGGCGGAGGAGATGACTCTTTTAATACATTTTTCAACGAAACTGGAGCTGGAAAACACGTCCCTCGAGCAGTAATGGTCGACTTGGAACCTTCGGTTGTTGGTATGTACGCGAGAAAGAAATGACAGTCTATTGTTATCCTCTTTTTGCTATTAATATTTTAAACATCTACCTGTTCATTTTTTTCATTTTGTTTCGCTTTTTGATTTTTGAAAGCTGTACGGCGGAATTTAGGAGAGCTAAACTTGAAATACGCTTTCCCTTTTGGTATGGGGACAAATCAGTTTTAGGCAGGTTCATAGTTGCGTTTTTTGACTAGCTTAATTCGCTGACTAAAAAAAGGTACCTTACTTCCCAGTTCTAACTGCAATGATAGACCGCTTATTTTATCAGTGTTTGTTCAGTTTCTTGGCTATTGTCGGTCCTTGTTACCGGTGTTGTCAAGGAAAGTTCTATAGGCTTTAAATATTCAATGATTTTATGAAATGTTTAGGCGAGCCCATCTTCATCCGATGGGCTTGCATTGTTAACACAAAATTGCACTGATCTGACTTTTTGGTTCTCTAAATTGAAGGGGGGGGGGGGGGGGTTGTACATAGAAACTATTTTCGGTGCGCCGTGCATTTGAAGGGATTTAAGCTCCTAGCTGAACTACTTCAGCGAAGAATTTATAGACACTTAGCTAAGAGCAGATTACTGGGGTTCGTGCTGGGCAAGTTTTAAAACAGCGTTTTTATTTGCCAGATTTGACGGCGTCAAGTAATGTTCATAGTCTTTTGATTTTTCCTTATAGATGAAGTTCGCACCGGTACATACCGTTGCCTTTTTCACCCAGACCAATTGATCTCAGGCAAAGAAGATGCCGCTAACAACTATGCCCGCGGGCACTACACTGTCGGAAAGGATCAAATTGATCTCGTCCTTGACAGGATTCGAAAACTGGTAAGTTCAGTCAGGGACCCGTTGGTGGAAAGTGTCAGCTGACATGAAAAAATCCGCTAAGGGATTAACCTTGGGATAATTTAACCAACATCTCGAACTAAGTAAATTCTATCACCAGAGGTATGGGAAAAAAATTCTTCAAACGTTAAATGGTCGGCCCCTTAAACCGCGCTTTAAGTCAGACTTCCTATAAATAACCGACTCTTTGGATCTGTTTGTTCCGCAGAGCGATCAATGTACCGGTCTTCAAGGTTTCCTCATTTTCCACTCATTTGGCGGTGGTACTGGGTCTGGCTTCACTTCCTTGTTAATGGAGCGTCTCTCAGTTGACTACGGCAAGAAGTCCAAGTTGGAATTTTCTATCTACCCCTCCCCCCAGATTGCCACAGCAGTGGTGGAGCCGTACAATTCTATTCTCACCACTCACACCACCCTGGAACACTCTGATTGTGCGTTCATGGTTGATAACGAGGCCATTTACGATATATGCCGTCGTAATCTTGATATCGAGCGTCCCACGTACACCAATCTCAATCGCCTGATTGGTCAGATTGTGTCCTCCATTACAGCTTCGTTGCGGTTTGATGGTGCACTGAATGTGGATCTCACAGAATTTCAGGTAATTCCACATATACCATGTATACATTTTACAAATATATTGTTATTTCATTCTCCTCAAAGCAAAGAATGATGTCCTCCTCAACAGTACCCATTCTTTTCTTTGCAGCCTTGAAAGGCATTATGTGTTGAATTTACCCCCAGTTGAGTTTGGATAGAGTTTTGCCACCGAGGCTACAAACCCTGACCACGACGAGAGACCCTATTTTATGACCTGATGCGTTTCATTTCACATACAGAAAAAGAATTATCATACTAACATCGTGAAAATAGATTTTTTTTGGAAAAAAATTGTTGGTACCACCCGGAACGCTCATCGCTTTCACACTTTTCCCTGTTCACCCTGTTCAGCGGCAAATACCCATTGGCCAAATTATGAATCCCCCAACAATTTAGCCAAGGTAGCTCAGACTCGCCCCATGCAAGGTTATCGCATTCAAGACAGGTTTAAATTCTGGATGCCACGCTGTGCATTCCGGACCCCTGGTACCGGATACCAGATTCCTGGTCAAAGTAACTTGAATTTCGAGATTTTCAATCGTAAGCAGGAATCCGGAATCCTTCAGCTGTATTTCGGATTCCAAATCCCATGGATTATGGATTCCTGATTACCTTACGTGAGGCAATGGCTATAGATGGATATAATTTGAATTGGTTTCTCGCTGAGAGCGATTTTCGTATGATGTTGAAATGAAAACGCGCAAACAAAACAGAAGTAACATATAGAGCGATTTGATTGGTTAATCGAACAGATACAAACGCACGTGGCTTTTGGTTGGTTGGGCGAATGCTCGGCTGAAAAAAATTCAAGCCCGAGAACTTTTTAGAAATCAATCGATACTTCGCTTTGACGTCATACTGCAACACGAATGGCCAATATAACGATGCTCTCTCCAAATTAGGGTTTTCTTTGGCGGGAAAACGAAGAGGCCATCGAAAATCGCTCTAAATAAATAAATTCTCAACTGTTTTCCCTTGACGTTACAGACCAACTTAGTCCCCTATCCACGCATCCACTTTCCCCTGGCCACGTACGCTCCTGTGATTTCAGTCGAGAAAGCCTATCACGAGGAGTTGAATGTCGCCGGGATCACTAGCGCCTGTTTTGAGCCAGCAAATCAAATGGTAAAATGCGACCCACGTCACGGCAAATATATGGCTTGCTGTTTGTTGTTTCGCGGGGACGTGGTACCCAAGGATGTCAACGCTTCTATTGCTACTTTAAAGACTAAGAGATCGATACAATTTGTAGATTGGTGCCCAACTGGATTTAAGGCAAGTTGCCCTTAGTACTTCTAATGTGTTAGGAGCCACCACAACACATAGCCTTTTGGGCTGCCTTATTCTTAGTGAAACCCCTATGGAGGTGTTTGCTAACAGAATTCCCCTAAAACATGGAAATGAATAAGCGATTTATTTTTTTAAGCGGTAGCTATAGTTTTATATATAGTGTTTGGCGCCACTTATCGTCATATTTCAGTTCGCGGGGAGTTCACCGTTAGCTGCTCTGTTTCGAGACAGTTCAAGGTGAATTTCGTGCTTAAAAGTACATGTAAATACAGTACGGTTGGCCCTCTCATGGACCTCTAATTTTGCCGTCAGTGAAATATCAACTAACCACTCTTTACATAAAACTGAGACTCAGACTACAAAAACAGCAAGCAGCAAAGTTAGATCCACACTTACACTTAATAAAAGTTAGATACATAGTGTAAGGATGAAATTACCCTTTTGCAGTTTTATATATCATCACTGTGTTTCGCCTTAGTGGTTGGCAGCCGGGTTACGCAGGCTCTGATTTCTGAATGTCTTGGAAATTCTTGCAGTTTTGTTAAAGCCATAATTTTTAATTGTACATACTTTTCTTTCTAGGTTGGAATAAATTACCAGGCCCCCACTGTCGTACCAGGTGGCGATCTGGCGAAAGTACAGCGCGCAGTTTGCATGTTGAGCAACACTACTGCGATCGCAGAGGCCTGGGCTCGTCTTGATCACAAGTTTGACTTGATGTACGCGAAACGTGCATTTGTACACTGGTATGTTGGTGAAGGAATGGAGGAAGGAGAATTCTTCGAGGCACGCGAAGACCTGGCTGCACTGGAAAAGGATTATGAGGAGGTTGGCGTGGATTCTGCCGAAGGAGAGGAGAATGGTGGAGAGGAGGAGTTTTGAGGCCATGTATGAGATTTTCCTCTGAGTACAGGCGTACCAAGCCCTCTTGCTTGTGCAATTACTAAATGCTTAAGCGTCATGGTTTGTATGGGAATTCTGCGAACAAATTTTAGAGCTTAACTCTCCCGGCCCCTCTAATATAGGGTCTGTGAGGAAAAACGATTGAAAGGGGGAGAAATTTTTGTCTATAAACGCGTGGTTATTATCCATACGAAACCTTCACCAACTCTATTACCATCACAGTCACCATAACTACTACCTAATTACAACATTTCCAAACTTATCGCAATCTTGAAAGGGGCTGTATCCTGTCAGTCCAGTTCTTTTTGTATAGCCTTTCCAATTACTCGTCGTTACTCGCTATGGAACTTGATATGAGCGAAGCCAAATTTCCTGTAATTTTGCAAAATTGTATACCCCGAGGCTTGGATAAAATTTGCAAAATCCTATTAGGTTTAACAGTTTTCAAAAACTCTAATTGCATTTATTTTAATCCTCTTCAATTTTGTCCATCCTTACCTGTATCTTCTTTTGCCTTTCGTCTGTGACCACCACTATGACCACGACCACCATCATCGTCATAATCATTATCAACAGCAGCATTATTATTGAAAATACCCTTTGCTCAGCTAACCATTATTGTAGCTACATTCCATTCCATGGTCACTAAAAGGAATCTATGTTTTTTGTCATCATCGCTACTACATTTGCTAGTTTTTTTGAAACATACCTTAAACTGACCTCGTGAGATTTATCTCGTTTTGCAAACAGTTTAATCCCTGACCATTAATTCGCAGAATTTCCATATATTTCCATATTGACGTCGTGCGACGTTGCTACCAAGGCTGCTTTATACTATGAGCTTGCTTGACCATCCAAGGCTTTCGGATTTAGGGGCACCGCGCTTAATTATGTCTCATTTTAAGTACTTTAAGTTTTAATACAGTTTCCTTTTTTATTCATAGGTAGAATTTCACCTCTAATCATTTGCCAAAAAGTCATAATTATATAAAAAAAGCTTTGTTTATCTCTCTTTTCAGAGAGCCGTCCTAAGTGTAGTGTGAGTTATATAGAAGGCAAAAGTCAAAGCCTTTACCCTTTTACTATTTAAGGTAAAACGGAAGGGGAACACCAACAAAACAAAGAGCTCTATTTTAGGCTTAAAAACTCTTAAAAACAACTAATCAACAAGCTAGACCAAAAAAAGCAAGGTATTCTAGACTTCTTGGGTATAACCTAGTAGTAAGCCATGTATCGAGGCGTCTTCAAAAATGCACTCACTTTCTTTGAGAGAGAACAAGCATACATTGGTTAGGAACGTGCGCCGTGCGCCGTCCGCCGGATAGGTAACTGTGTACATAATTTCTCCATTTCCTCCTGCCAGACTCCATTTTGAAGTGAAAGTAGTAAGTAGAAAGTGATGGGTATGTAGTGGTTTGCCTCGCAACTAACACAACACGTGCAGTGCAAACTGGGGCCTCGTGCGCAACTAAGTGCCCGAGTACAAGAAGGTTTTGACCCTGTACTCGGACATAGAAAAGCGCCTGACATACTGGCGTACGTGAAAAAGGGGTGTGTTCACATTAGGTCCCCGCGAGTACCGAACTCCGGAACCGTGAACCGCGAGCACCAAGTGTAAACCAAACTTGAGTTACACATCACTTTGTCTAATATGGTCTTTTAGAGTTAACCTGTCTCAAGTTCATGAAAAATTCATGAAGAAAATACAAATGAAATGAATGTTTTTAAAATGAGTGTTCTGGAAATCAGATGAAAAACTCCCCATTTTTGCATCCTTAACATCTGCCTCTAAAATAACTTTTTTTGTGAGAAAAGATATCAAACATTAGACAGTATTTCAACACATTATCAAACATCTTAACGTTTGTCGAAATCGGCTCTTCTCACTGTCGGGTGCTCAATGGTGTGACGAAACACTGTCTGGCACTTGGTGTAATATGTCAAAAACGAGGGCGAGTGCTTCATCACGGGTTCCAAACACACCGAGAAACAGATGAAAACAAGTGGCCTATGGCCTCGTGCTTTTATCTTTTTCGAGGTGCTTGTCAACACCTAACGAAAAAATCAGCTGGATCATCGGTCACTGCTTTCCTGCCTAATAAAAATGTCTTTCATACTGATACAAAACTCATCAGGGACTTGATGCTTCGTTGAGGTTTCTGTTCTGTGGTAATATCATAATTATATATTTAGTACGTACCTATATTTATTTGCATCATATTTATTTCTCTATATGTAGTTATTTTTATTAGTCTATAAGCTCAACAATGAAATGTTTAGCAATACGCATGCTTTAAAGCGCCAAAATGTGTATGGCGTGCTAAAAAAGACCTTGTATTATACCTTGTATTATTTTACTCTTCGTCAAAAAGTAAAATAATAAAAAATATTAATAAAATCAAACCATATTAACAGCCTACAGTCTCATCTCACGCTATCCCTTTTTTAAAAGCTTTTAATGATTACGTTCAATTTGGTTTAAAATTCATTGGTTATCATTAGTTATCTGTCCATGTAATGTTTATACATGATCTTTGAGAGAATTCTGACTTCGGGATCAAATGAGTGAAAAACAAACATCTTTAAGTTGTGACCTAATACTGAATTCATTCAGTATCATTTTTTTTTCATTCTATTGATCATGTATCTACCTGAAATACTCGTAAATGATATACTTGAAGAGAAATATAGTTTCCCGAATTTCGTTCTTCTTGGACCCTCGCGTTCTTACGTCAAAGGTATTTACCTGAAACCACAAGGCATTATGGGAAGAATTCAGCTAGAGTAGTCGATTATTCCCAAGAGAACACGTGTGTTCTGTAAGAGCAAGAAAGGGCCATCGTGTCGCCTGGGAAAGAGACAGAGCATTCGCTGCGATAAAAAATATGGGATCAAAATGATCACACGCTATTCATCAGTGTTCATTGCAAAAGTTAATTAAACAAAATCCCGGAACTTCACTTAGGTCGCTATATTTGAAAAAAGGAATAGGCTTTTATTCAAGAGTTTTCTCTAAACCCATCACTGCCGTGCATTAACCATTTACAATTGTCTGATCCGGCCGGGAAGTTTTGATACTAAACTGGAACAATTTTCATATATTAATCATGAATTAGATAATACAATTCAATAAAATCAAGTACATACTATTTTTCTAGCTCTCCGGGAAGAAGACAGATGAAAGGGGGCATAAGCTTTTTAAAGACTGATTAGCGGGCGAATCCGTTGCCCATGTGGACAAATGGAAGTGTATTATCCAATTAATCGTATTCGGATTAAGTGCGGTTGATCGAATTTCGGAACCTCTTAAGTCCTGGTATAATTACACGAATTCATGAACCTCTTATTGTAACGCAGACACCGCTAAGTTAAAAGCCTATTATCCTTAATCGAGCCTATATAGAGTGTCGTGGATATCTACACTTTATAACATGCCCCATAAATCCCGTAGATCTTCATATATTACTTTCGGCAACGTGGCCTTGTCTGACACAGTTCTGACTCAATTAGCTTAAATTCTCAGTGTATCATAATCATATTTGAAAGACTGATCCAGTCGTCCGGAGAAACAAGTTCGAAATGGACAATGGCAACTTGATGCTGTCGTTGGATAAAAGCGAAGAAAAATATTCGAACTAGAATTGTAATCTATTTTTGCCTAGGTGCTCCACTTGCTGATAAATTCTGTCTATGTAATTCAGTACATGTATTAAAGTTCGGATGGGTTAACTGCCGTGGTTAGTGCTTTTTTTTTTCACTTTTTAGTTGGTTATAAAATCTTCCATACTGCCTGTTTAGTCGCCAAATTTTCAGCCGAAATAAAGTGTTATAGACCGACCTATAAGTGTTGAGACCAACCTATAACCTTTTTTAACCGGTTTTATTCGATCTATTTTGCTCTCTAATTTGATTGTCAGATTAGAGATTTAGTTTTTGTATGGGGGTGGTGCCCGCACCTGCAGATACTTTAATTCAAAATTTTCCTTACGTTCCAGATTGATAATTGCTTGTGTTAGTTTGTATCAAGATAAAGCTCCATTTAGTTCATTTTTTAGACTGATCAGATTTGTTTATTTAAATTAGATTTTATCACAACTTTTACTCTACAGCTATTTCATACTTTCTATTTTCTATTGTTTCCATACTTTCAAGTATAGGAGACATGAGTCCATTAAAAAAAAAATCTAGATCGTGCTTTTTTAAAGTTCAGACTCTGGCTTTTCATGTTTGAAATTTTTATTTTTGTACGGTTCCTTTTCTTAATAAGGAGCATATCTGTTCATAAAGTCATTAAAGAAGCTTTGTAAAGCTTATCAAGAATTCGGCCCCGCCGCTTTCAACGTAATACTTACCAGACGTATTTAAGATAACCTTGTCAAAGAAATTGCACTGTGACATACTTCGGACGCAATTACTAAACGCAAAGAGAGTCGTTCATATCTGCTTGTTCTCCATATTTTTCAAGGCCAAAGGTTGAAAAATTAATCAAGTTAATAAGCGCGTAGCTGTTACATAAGGCCATGCCGCAGTTTCAGATCGTTCTACTGTTTGTGGTTGCTAAATTATTGCTCCTTCAACACGCCCTTGCGGTAATGGGCGATGAAGACGTTCCATCGAAAAAGGATGACATGCAACGGCATCGAGCAAAAAGATGGCTTTGGGACGGTAAGTTATCTCATGTACTTTACTAATATTTCGTATTTCTGTATTCACTTGTAGGCAGTAGTACACTGAGTAAAGTCTTTATCAGATAACGGAGGCTTGGCAAAATACGTTTCCTATAACAAGGTTTCGTTAAATCGAGGTTCTTTTTCCTGATATCTTTTACTAATTTCTGGGGTGAAGAATATCTTCCGTTATAGTGAGAACTTCGCTGTACAGACGTTCGTTGTATCGAGTTTTTTTTTTCATATATTTTACTATTTCCGGGGTAAAGATTATCGTTCGTTATAATGAAGACGTCTCTAAAGAGAGGTTCCAATATCGAGGTTCCTCTGTACATACAATTCATTATCATGAAGCGTTCTCTTTTAACAAAATACTAGCTAAGTCAAAGTGAATACCTTTTAAATGAAAGCGATTGCCCAGTGCTTCAGGTTGTAGTGGAAGCTCAGTTTCTCTTTATGTTTTACTTTCCAAGATGAACTTGTTCAGTTTTTGTTACCCTTTTCAGTGGAGTGCTAATTTCTGTTCTTAGGGCAAATGTTTAGAACATTTTCGCTGTGCAACCGTTAAAAAAGATGATTCAATAAAAGATGCTTTACGCCCCAAGCGCTACTATTTTTTAACTAAATGAACTGGCAGGTTAAGAATTGTTATCCAGTTAACGACTGCCTTATTTCAAACCCAAGTAGTTTTGAGAGGTGGAACTCTGAATGCCTTGTCTTACAGTTAAAGAACTGCAGAAGATGCGATCGATTCTCCTTTGCGCAGGTCAAGGGAGTTTGATCGACCCGTTATTATTTCATATAATCGTTTTTTTATTAATGTCACAAAAATGACAATGGCAAAGAGTCCAGAACCCTTTTCTCATAAACTCTTTTTAATTAATAAAATCCGATTTGTTTTATTTTATATGATAAGCTAGAAGGAAATCAGCTTTTAAGTCATGATGCGCCAGGTATCAATTTATCATTGTAAATACTATTGGTGATTTCCTTGTTTGTTTAGTTAGTTAGATTCGTATTATAGAACTATATTTGTGGACAACTGTTAATTCAGGAAGGCGCATTGTTTTGAAGAATGATTGGAGTGTACATGCGAAGTTTTTGAAGAAAGAATTTTGTGACCAATTATATCACCGAAGTCAAAGATCAATCTCATACCTATTAGCTCTACTACTTGTAAATGATTCAAATAACCTCATCTTTGCTTTATTTCAAACAGTTTTTGTTGTCATTTGTGTATGAGAATTGTTAGCTATTCTGATATTCTTCAAGCCACTTTACAAGCCCATCAGACCACAGAAAGATACCGAATAGTCCGTCTATTTCCGTTTAAGTACCATGAATCGGTTTCTGAAGGATTATGAATGGCCGATCGTTTTAGGCATTGAATCCAAGTTTGTCAGCTCTAAGAAACGGCCTGAATCCGACAAAGATAAAAATAAAATGTCCTTATATGCACCGCATCTACAAAATCGACCTTTCCCTGCCAAAAGTTCAGTCTTAACAATCCAGTCACGTCCATTTGAGTTTATCTTCCTACTACGTGCTACACTCCACTCTAGTTAAGTGGAGTTTTCCGATAGGAATTACAAAACCGAGCTAACCAAACAAAAATATTGACATAAATTTCAGGTAGTTTTGGAATGCATTTTCTTATCCCAGATCAATCGAAGATCCTTGTCGAAAACAGTCGAAAATCTTTGTCAGAATGTTTGTTTTGTATAGTAGTTCTTTAGTCCAATTCCTTGTCAATTGTAGATGAGAGACTGTTGTTTTCATTGCTCTGGGGAAATTCGTTGTCAACAAAAGTTGTTGACTATGTAAATAACTACCATTAAGTAGTTAACGAATTCTCTGTCTTAGTAATTGCATTAGGTTTATTGATATGTTTGTATTGTTCAGAAACTTTTTTTTACTAGAATTCCTCCCCATTTTGTTTTTCCGCAAGTTCGCCTGGAACGGATATTAAAAGAAAATTGTGAAATAGTTCTTTTCAGGAAAATTAAATGACACGCTTTTGGGTCAAGATTCCTTTTTAGTAGCATTCAATTCCTTTTTAGTGACATTTAGTCTTTGCATTCACCAAAAATATTCCCACCACTAAGCAAAAGCTTTCCTCCTCGCTTAGTAAAGATAAGTTTCTTCTCACAACCCTCTGGGGGCATAAGAAAGTCTACCTGAAGTGATCAACCATTTTGTCACATGTATCGCCTAAGATCACGAAGTTATTAAAACGAGTCTTTTTTTAGTCATTGTTCAGCCGTACGGGTTTTTTTTTAGTCCTAACAAATATCCTGTATCAGCAAGTGGATGACACAAACGTTTCAACAAATTAAGAGGAAATTTGTAAGCCATTAGTTTGGTTTGTCACAGGTAATTCATCATTATCGATGAAGCAGAACGAATAGTTCAGCTCAAGATAAGGCCACTTTGGAATTGGACCGCTTTATGACCGTGTATCGAACCTGCAAGTAAACTCTAGACTGACTAGACGGTCGCACTGTATTAGGCAGCACTGTATTAAGCACGGGACTATAAACAGTCACTTCACTCAAACGGCCCCGACGAGCCTGCTTCCAGTCTTCACCTCTATTTCACTGTCATTAAAAAAAGAAAATTTGAAGCAACAAGAAATAAAAATAACAACAACTGGATTTCCTTTATTTACCCACGGCGCAGAGTTTAGCACAAAGTCTATAGTCAGAGCGTTTTCACTCACGTGACCAACAGCTACAACTTGTATGCATAACTTATTGGAACAAACGAAATTTTTACCAAAGAAAAATGCTCCTCAATTCTCATAGCACTGGTTTGGGACACCAACATAAATGCAATAAAATTTAAGGTTCAACTATGCAACCCACCGTTGAAAACTTTAAAACCATTTGAACTTACCTGACCTCTCGGGAAACAGCCCTCAAATTCATGAATATTATTGGTCCGTTTGCAAAAAAACTTGAGAATCATTTGTTTTCAAAAAACGTTGTGATTCGATAATCTTCTTCCAAGTGCCCAGATTCGAGTAATCGCACTGTAAGTAAAATGAAAATGAAAGCCATTTTTGCCTTTTTTTTAACCTTTTTTTAATTACACACATCTATTGAGCGTGACTTTTAAGAGTACTATAACTTTTATAAACAGACAAATCTTAGCTGAGGCAAACTGAACAATTTTAAATTTTCCCTATAACAATTAATGTCTTTCTTTTGATATTATAGAAAAACTGTATAATATTCACTATTGTTTGAGTAGACCCTAATTCAGTCAGCGTCATTTTTGCAAACAGAACTTGGTGCGACGAAAATCCTTTTTGATCATGTGCAAGTGCATTCTCCTATCCTGATGGGAGAGTTGGAAAGTTTTTCCTCTGAACTACTGTATGTTTCGATGTTTCTCGCTATTTTGAACAGTGTGGTTTAATGTACGAACTGCTGGCCTCAAACCGCGGGTAGTCCAACCGCTAAGCTAAGGGGGGGGGTTGGGTTCGCACGTTATCAATTAGGGACCTGAAATTTTCGTATAAGGGTACATAACAACGTAATCCCAATAAGTTGATAAATTTTTAATCAAGTTGCCCGAAAAATCAGAAGTTGCTCCAAATGGTAAAGGTTACTAGAAAGTTGCTTCTTGTAGCAAAAGTTGCTAAAAAAATTGCCGAGCAACGTGTGGCTGACGCTACCTGGGCTATATTGCTAATAGAAATCCTACATTGGAAATCCTGGATTTCTGACAGGTACAGAGCTTCGGGTCCCTTTACTTTTTCTCCGGACCACAACCTTGGTCAACTTTTTAATACATATTTTAAAATAACCTAAACACAACTGGCAATTTTTGTGTCTGACTCGTAATAAGCGATTTCCGAGATCCAAAATCCGCCACTTTTAAAAAGAGGCCAAGTGCAAAACCTTTCTTGTGAAAATGAGATTTAATTGCATAAAATAAAAATGGAAAAAAAAAGTCATTTCCATATCAATAGGTTGGCACTTAACCTCACTTTGAAACAGAGGCCTAGGGCGACTCGGAAATTGTCCTGGGAGTATAATAGTGGTTTGAATTTCCGAATCAATTTAGGTTTCTGGGAAACTGCCCACCTACCCTTTCCCTAAGCCGTCATTTTGCACTAAGTGAGAAGTAAGTGTTTATGTTAGTTTAGGGGAGGAGCAGGTTGGCTGTTTGCCAATTGATTCGAATTTCCTTTCTTTTGGCACAAGGAAGGATAGAAAACTCTAAGCACTTTTCCTTCTATTTGCTAATATCATCTTCGTTTTATTCACTTAGTTTCAGTTACTGATCTAACCTTCAATTTTAATCTCAGTTACTGATCTTACCATTAATTGTTAAACTGATGCAATTATAAAGCGGGTCGGTTGGCCATTCTTCGTAACTTAGCGCCTATGTATAAGTTTACTGTACTATACTTTGTTTTTTTTCAACATAGCACTCACTTGAAAATAATGAGGTTTTCAAATATATATGGACGCTTTTGAATCGGTTTTAAGAGCTAACAAAATTTCCTTTTTAGACTCAGGGTGTGGTTTGATTCCCGGCTGTGATGAATGTACTGATGGTCTAGTGTGTAAGACCTGCAAACAATCCTTTATACCTGTAGAGTACGAAAGAAATAGAAAGATAATCATTCGATGTACGCGATCGTGCCCGGTGGGCTTCAACATCACCTCAAGACAGGGATATTCCAGGATATGTATCAGGACAGAGCTTGGTATGTTATACAGTAAGCATGCCATCTTTGTAGCGTCTATAGAGATACTCTCGACTGACGTGTTTCCCCTGAGATTTTAGACCAAATGATGCCGGTTTAGGTGTATATGAATGCGTATATTACAAAACGTCAAAGAATTATTGTCCTGAGAAGGTAACATGGTCTGAAAGGGAGGAGCTGATAATACACATTCGGCTTAAAAAACATCCGGGTTGTACTTTAGGCCACTGGATACGTGTAGTAGAGTTCAAACGCTAAACTCCATAGAAGGACTGTTGGTTGTATTAAATAAATAGATAAACCATGCACAGAAATAACGTTTTACCATGTAATCAACCCTTTTGAAAGGGCTAAAACGCATCTAGTTTCCAATAGCCCACGTTCGATAATTTACATTAAAATTCTAACATGACTCCGAGACTTTAGGGTACCAACTGCAAAGTTTTCACATTCGACTCTATATTGTCTCGCAATTTCCAGATGAGACTTCAACACAAAGAAAACCAAACCAAACAAAGAAAAATGACCAGAAAGCCCCGGAGTCATGTTGCAATTTTAATATATCGAACGTGGACTATTGAAGCGGGTGATCAATGTAGGTTTCTGGGAAACTACCCACCTACCCATCCCCTAAGCTAACATTAACACTTACTTCTCACTTAGTGAAGAGAGAATATAGGGAATGATCAACAAGTTGTTATAATGAGAAATTTAAGTTATTGAAAGTACATAGAACTGGTCAAAAGTGTTTGAATGAATGAATGAATGAATGAATTACAATGAATTAATGAGCGAACATTTCAACCTTGAATCCTACTGTTTTCTAAGGCATAAGATTGTCCTCCCAGCAAAGTGAAGCCATTTCATTCAAGTAAAATCCAACTAGTGGTCTATTATCAATGCTGTGTTCTGATTGGTTGAGCTACTACTAGGCTATAATGTTATAGCCCACTAGTAGCGAAAATCGCATGATTTTTGGCGGCAAAAACGGATTAAAGACTTGCTTTAAGTTGTTTTGTCTGGATATTTTTGACCAACTGGTTGGATTTTACTAAAAACAATTATTCCGCTCTTCCTCATAGCCTCCGAGTCAATAGCCCATTCGGCCTTCGGCCTCATGGGCTATTGACTCAGAGCCCATTCGGGCTCGAGGAATAATTGTTAATTAGTCTGATTCTTGGATCGCTTGCATTCATGAAATAACGTGGTTTAATCACGTACCAGAAGACAAAAAAAAATACACAGAACTAACCCATTTATACCACGCCTCTTCTCACTTCAGGTCGATTAAACAAGATTGCTCTACGCACGCAGATTTTGGAGAAGCGAACCAAACCAAATTCGAATGGCAAGTGCTGATTTTCTTGGGCGTATCCCTGTTTCACTTCTGAGGCTGAGACATAATATTGTCGCAAAAGAGCAGCTTAAAGATAATCGACCTCCTTTCATGTAGTCTTCTGGAAGGTTACCCGGAGGTTTAAGAAATAATAAACCCCCATATGGCCTGCTAGAACCTGGACTTTTATAACGCCTTTCGCTACAATTGTAGCTTTGTCCTCAAAGTGAGCCATCCAGCTCGGTGACAATTTTGCGTTCACGTTCTCGGCTGTTTGGGGATTAATAGAGTAAGAGACACCAATAACCCAAGTCCTTCAGAGCTAATACCCCGTTGACTTATTGACCCTTTTGTAAGTTAAGTGGGAAATGTTTCTATATAAGTAAAAACGGATCGGAATGATTCAGCGCAAATCACTTTGCCTGCGAATTCAGCTGCCTCTCTCGTTTCCCTTCGTGGAGGACGTTTCTAAATGTCACAGCGTTGGGGAGCAATGAGAGCAGAGAGGGGCTGTGTTCACAGCTTACGAAGCATTTTGAAAGCACTAAAACCTAGTGGAATTAGCTTCCTTCCTTCCAGTCGCCGTAAGTGGTTTATTCTATACTAACTGTACGAATCTTTGATTGTCAATCATCATATACTTACAGAAATTCGTTCATTCATTCGCGTGGGGTGAATGGATAAGCAGCGTTTTATGTTGCTGTGAATTTGTTCGATTTGTTTTCAAGGTTGTACTGCACGAAACTGCGATGACTGCCACCAGCACAGTCCTGCAAGCTGCGCGAATTGCACTCAAGGATATTACTCACTTCAGAAAAAGATTATGGGAAACGTGAGATGTGTGAAAAACTGCCCAATTGGTTTCACACCCTCCATGGACAGTGACGGAAAGAAGCTATGCAAAGATACACAATCAAGTATGTAATTCCTTTATTTCGCATTGTGTAAAGGATCGAGAACTATTTAATTATAGCATTCAGTTGCATGTTAGCTATCTCTGTATGACTAGAAACGCAACATGGGACACAGACCCGGCTGGAAAGGCAGAAGCACATAATGTTTGACCCTATTCAGCTGTCCATGCCGGTACAGGATATCGTGATTGATTGCCGATCTCTCTGGGCTGAATACGGCATACCATTTGCGAACTAATTCTAAACAGGTTCTAATTGTAGAAACTCAGAGCATTGTTTTGTTCGATGTTCTTAACTGTGCTCTTAAACAGTGATTGTTGTCCTTTATATGGCAGGGTTTTTTTAGATGTTCTTTTTACCTAAAAATGGTTCACCCCTTTACCCAAACTTGACTCAAGTAACCCCTCCGGAACACAAACGATCAATCAAATGCTGGCTAAATTGTGAAGGCCTCAAGATTTCAAGAGGTTAAAAAAAATGGAAATCGCAAGACGGTATTTTTCAGTACTGTCTAGTGCGAACTGACAGATTTTGGGCGATTTAATTACGACGCAATTTCTAAGCTCTTAGAAGCAATAGTACTAAAAAGTTTCTATAAAATGATATAATGAGGGTGTTTAAAATCGCTTCCTTTATTTTCAGAGTGTAAACCCATCGTGCCTAATTGTGCCAAGTGTCTCGATAGCCTCCGTTGTCGGAAATGTAGGAACGCTTTTCACGCTTTCTTTAACAAATCTGGCATGGTTTGTGTTCGGAAATGTCCAAAAGGACTTGTGCCCTTTAATTCAAGCTACTTTGGCAAATACTGCAAAAAGCCACTTGCAGGTGAGTCGTTCCGTACACTACTGTTTTAGTAACAGGTTTGAGTTCCCGTTATGTGTGTCAGTGAGTCAAAATAACTAATTTTGATAGTATTATATGTATGAAAACTTAATTTTGTAAATAGCTTTAACATTGTCTTATTTATTTTTATCTCTTATTCTGTTTGTTTTAGTTTGCAGTGGCATACCTTTATGTAAATTAGCTGTTGAAGTTTTCATTTAAACTAATCCATATAGCTAAGCATATGTTCCACTTTAAATAGAGTACTGTTAATTATTGGTATTGTTCCTTGATAACGGTTTGGCCCATTTGACGTCGAAGGTAACAGGGTAGCTCCCGATCAACAATTAAGCAATTCCCCGTTGAAAATGAAGCCACTGACGTTTGTTTCCCGTGCACCAAAAGCCTGGTTAAACCAAGGCTAACCATGGTGCAAGCCTAGTTCAACCAACCAAAGCTTACTAATGTTTTCAAATTAAACCGGATGCATATGTGCAAAAAGCCTGGTATTCCTGGTAAGCGTAGCAAGCCTTGTTATTCTGTAGACCAGGAAAAACAGGGTTCAACTAGACTCTTTAAATGATGAATTAACCATGATAGGACTAACAAAAGACAAAAAAAGTAAAAGTGTGTTTAATAGGGAAAAGGTATCAGAGTGGACTAAGAAACAAATTTTGTTTAGTACTTAGTCTGGGTCGGGTTGCATGAAACATCTTAAGATTAAGGGAACTCGTAACTATTTGTACAAAACAATAGGTTAATGTTTCAGAACAAAAGTTAGGAGAGCTCTTATCTTAAGAAAGCTTTATGCAACCTGGCTCTAGCCCCCATTGCATCTGACATTCAAATTTGCCATTAAAAAGCTGATTGAATTAATTGCTTTCTGGTCAGAATGCAGATATGTTGCTAATTGTGCTAGATGCCCTGACAAGATCAACTGCCGGAGATGTAAGCCAAGATATTTTAAGATCAAAATTTCTGCATCCCACAATTCAACTTGCGTGGTCTCTTGTCCTCGTGGGTTTGCGAAAAAGGGGAGAAGGTGCCAGCGAATTACGGAAGGTAATCAATCCTTTAATTTATTTTGTATGCAGCAATGATTAAAGGTCCTAAATAATTTTAATTTTTATTTAGCACTTGTTACTGAACAGGATGTCATGGCTTGGAAACGCGGCCGTGATGGATTCTCAAGGTCTAGTTTATATAACTGTAGCCACGTAGAAGCTGCGGCAGCGCAGGGCATCCTGTCAATTACTTCCAGGGTGGACATTTTTGAAAAAAGGCCAATTCCCGTCCTCATCCCCATAAGGGTAGAGACAGATACTTAACAGTACCTTCTATCGTACAGTATTATGATATTTCACTGCCACTGGGGCATACTTGTAGGACTTAGCTTGTCTTTGGTCAATTTTTCACTTTCAAATAGTACCATATACCACTGGACGAACGAAAACGATTCGCAAATTAAACGCCACGTCTGGACGACAATCTTTTTCAAATTCAGGAAACAAATTGTTTGTTGTTAAAGAAAGACAGAAATGAGTGGATGGGGCCTTAAGTGAGTCAACTGGACGGGGATTCATTTAAATTTTCTGGAAAGACTTCTTTTTAATTCATTTCCCTGTAGATGGCTGTGCTGGTGAATATTGTTTGACTTGCAAAGAGGGATGGTTTCGAATCAACTACAATAAGAGGCGTTGCCAGCGCAAGTGCCCCAAAGGATTTTACACCTTTAGGAGTATACAAAATTACTGCCTGAGTAAGTACATTCTCTTTTGCATTATTAGACTGATTTAGCAACAGGACGAGACCGTCAGTTGGCGACGGGAAAGCGCGCGGAAAGGACTAAACACGACTTCCGGTGCCCAATTTGCCGCTCTGCCATTGGTCAAGCCAGTTGTTTGATTTGCGCGCGCCGTTGTCAACTGACGTTCCCGTTCTGTTGCTAAATCAGCCTATTAGGGAGCTTAAGCAGCGACGTTATTGAGCGACGCACGTCAACCGGAAGTGAGGTATTTTCCCTCTTAACATGCCTTGATGATATAAAATTTGTATTCCTTAGCTTCTTTACTGTTATAGAGGCGATTTGACTGAAAATTTGCGCGAAACCACCGTCAAAAAATGAAAAAAGGCCACTTCCGGTTGACGTGCGTCGCTCAAAAACGTTGTTGCTTAAGCTCCCTATTATCTCACCACAACGGGAAATGCTAGATTCCATAGCTCAAAAGGAGTGAGCAACCCCACCCAAACCTTGTTTTCACGAAAACCGCTAGGCACCGCCACCTCCTTTTCAGCTGTGGAAACTACTGCCTACCCACCACAACAGCATGTGCATTATTTGGATATCTGCCCCACCTGAAAACTGTATTTTTGCTAATAAATTGCCAAAAATCGTAATCCTTTCTTAATTATCTTTAGTTAACATTTCTCGTCACTATAATATACAAATGGGTCTTCAAATTTTGCCAACATTAACACAACGAATAGACAGATAGCTACTGAAGGCATTCGTAATAAGTCGGAGAAAAATATGATTATGATGATGATGATGATGATGATGATTATCATTTATATATTTATTTTACTTAGTGATAAAAATTGAAGAAGGTGGTGGTGGAGGCTGGATGTCATACAACTCCGATGTTAGCTGATAAAGGGACTCGTAAAGTTACATTTAGTGATAGTTAAGATGTAGTGGATTTTTTAAAACGTTTTTCCTTAACATCTTTTTTTTTAAAAACAGGATGTTCGGAAAACTGCGAAAAGTGCAGTAATGGCTATGACTGCCTCAAGTGCAATTCAGAAACCTCAAGTCTGAAGGCCCCTGGTCTGCGCACTACCTGTGTGAAAAGTTGTCCCTTGGGTTACACGAAACAGGGAGATCGGGCAAAGGGAAAATCCTGTCAGCTTATCAAAAGGTCAGTCAAAGGGAGTGAGTCTGGCCTCATTGCTTTAAGTCTTCACGGTTTTGCAAATGAGAACTATCTCTGACACATCTCATACTCAGGTCACAAGACTGTTAAACTGTTGCCTATGTTTGTTTTAACTTACAGTAAATCCTCTATTTAGCCCCCCAGGGGGCTTATTTATTTCAAACCCTTTTGAGGGGGCGGGGGAGCTTAATAGAGACGGGAGATTTATTTGAGGGAGGGGGGCTTGAGAGAGAGAGGTGGATGGGGGCGTCTTAGAGTGAAGGGGCTTATTTGAGAGGGGAGCTTAAAAGAGGATTTACGAAAATTCAAATTTAAACCTGTTTAACTAAAACAGCTTTAAACATGTTGAATCTTTGGTGTGAATGGGTTTGTGAGTGATAATCGAACTACATGCATGGCTTATATTTCCCGTTATGTTATCTTTGTCGGAAGCAATGTTAAACGATGTCTTCTAACGCTTGTTTTTCAGAAACACGTGACCCTTGTCCGTCTTAATTGTTCTACATGGGGATTGCGTTTCGAGTTCAAGACCTGTCAAGAATTTATTTGGATCGTTCTTTCAGACTAGCAGATCAAAATATATCCTTCCAATTGCATAGATTACTAGTACACTCTCAGCACTTGAGTTTTCAGCATGAGTTAATTCGCAATGTCATTTCCTAGCCTGCAATGTACACAATAACGGCTGATAGGTTGGTATAGTAGTCATTTTCCCACATGATCATAAGTATTTTGAGACAAAACTTGATTGTTATCAAGTGCCTCGGCTCAATTGAACACTGAAATATTCAATTTAGCTCCTACACCACTACTTCCCTATCGCTATAGTCTAACATATAGATGCAAACTATCAAATAGCTTGAGTTCCCTTTGCTACTAATCAGTTTACACATGACACTCGTAGCCTCCTTTTGGAGGAAATCCAATCAAAAGACAGATGTTGACACAGGCAGTCAGAACAAAGGGCGATCAATGTCTTTTTAGTTGTTATTATTTTTCTTTTTTTCTTCCTTTTAACCTCGTGCTAAATCAGAGTTAATGTCTTCCTTTTAACCTCGTGCTAAATCAGAGTTAATGTAATTAGTAATTGTATCTGAGCAAATACCGTTGTCCGTTTTACTGGCTTTCAATCCCCCTCCCGTTAATTCTCAGTGTAGTTATAAATGATCGATGAAACGCTGCACCTTGACTCGTTAGTCAAAACTTGAATTGTGAATAGAACTCGTTGGCTGTCACATTCGCCATTCAGATAAAAGCAGTTAAAGCTCCATTACGTTGTTGTCCATTAATTGCTAATGGGTAGTTTGTAGTTTTAATTCACACGAACGACATAGCCGAATTGGTAGCTTTAATTTACACATTAACTCCTCCACCGCCCGTACGTACCACTTGTCAGTGACTTGTGACGCTATCAGCAGAGTTGGCTCTCAGGACACTGAATTTTGCTGGTAACTTCTGACTGAGGAGAATCAATGAATGACATTTTTCGAATCATGACCCAAATGAGCACGATTCAGACTTAAAAGTCAAGAAAAAAAGTAAACAAACATGTAAAATTGACCGGAAAAAAGTATATTTGAAATTCTTGGTCTATCTTCTGCCCTACCTATACAAACTATACCTTTAAATAAATTTCACAATTTCGCTAAAAACGTTTTCCCCACTGAAATGAAGCCTATTACATGCGTAGCAAAAGAAAAAAACGAGAGAGGAAAAGAGAAAAAGCGGGAGGAGAACAACATCTTTCCCTTCTGTGATTAGGATGCTCGCCATTCGGGAGCTGCTGAATATATCATCAGGAATAAAAGGCAACGCAAATATATTCCTCTTTTTTGTCAGATTATGAGTGGCCAGTAACGAAAAAGCCTCAAATGGGTAAATGACGGAAATTATTTTAATTTTTTTTTTATTGTTGATCGAGGACAACCAGAAACCGCACTTCGTGGCATGAGTACTGATTACATGCTAACATAATTTACGGCGGAGTCGTTATGGCAGGTGTTTCCACTGTCTTTGACTGTGCGTATGGATCGCCGCAAGGCAAAAAGTGTATCGCCCTGAATTACTGATCGTTTTAATTATCAGTTGTGTTAGTATGTAACAAAAGCCTTCCTGTTGTGTTTTTCAGTCTTTTTAGGCGGCTGTTAATCGACAACGTGGTTCGATCCATTCAAATGATATTGTCTGAGAAAACAATGTGGTTGGCCCGATGAATTATAAAACGATTAGTTCAGCAAAAACATTAAACTTTCTTTTTCCGTTCCATAAAACTTGCCTTGTTGAGAACTTGAGCTTAAAACTTATGAGCTTTTGGTCCCAACCCCTTAATGATACGAACACATGTATTATGTAGTGTTCTTGACACAGCTGTCGCGGATAAAGTGACCTGACCGTATTATCATGTCTGTTAAACCTCTGTAGCGACAACATTCGCGTCATTCTTTTCCCGAAGTACTTCCTTGAGCTCCCGCTTAATGTCACGTTTCAACAACGCATATGCAATTGGGTTGCCGGCTGAATTCGTCACTACAAGAAAACGCACTGCATTGGACAAATCATCAGAAAATGTACACAAATCGGTAAAATAGCATAGTGAGCTGCACACTTCAAGCGAATAGCAAACGAGAAATATGGCCACTACTGTTATAATCACACGAGCTGGCGTCCATGTGTGTATTTTGTAGCTCTTATGTTTTGGTTCATTGAACCGCAACTGTGTATCTAGCCTCGTTGTCTGTTGACGATGATCGCGTGCTATTGATATTATTTTGACTGTAACAAACAAGAGTACAGCACAGGGAATAAATTCAAACATGGTTGTCCAGATTACTACCGTGATATTTCGGTTTATGCTGCACCTGTGCAGACTCGTGCAGAGGCCTGGTATAAAGTAGGTAGTGAACGGTATCAGCCACGACAATGTCATCAAACAAAAAGCGCGTTTTCGCGTCATGAGAGTCATGTAGGAAAGTGGATGAACAATTGCCAAATAACGGTCGATGGCCATAACACAGAGACAGCTAGTTGAAGAGTAAATCATTGCCACTGCGATGTCATCTGCCACGCTCTGAAGGCACGCTCTTGGAGAAAACTCGCAGATAAAGTTTGCTGGGAAATAGCAGGCCCCAACGCCAAGGTCGGCTAATGCGAGTGACAAGATAAAGCCATTGGGAATGGTATGAAGTCTGCGTCTAGTATAAATGAGGTAAATCACAAAGCCGTTTCCAAAGATTGCTAAGGTCGACGGAATCCATCCAAGAATCCAGTACCAGTTCATTCTTTAACCATAGCGTTACTCTGACTCCAGTACTGAAAGGTGCATATTAGGTCGTGTTTTAGTATTGCAACATTTATAAAATTCGTCGTCACAATTCGTGGGTCGACATTCAACCGTCATTGACGTCATAGTTAGCAATTAAACTGACGTTAATGAATAAATAAATAAATAAACAAACAAAAAAATATTATGTAACCCCCACAGAGAGCAAAAGTCTCTGTTTGGGGTTAATTATGTCAGTTCTTGACATATAATAGATTAGTTTTAAATGAAGTTGAATTACTCGAGACTATCGACAAAAGAGAGAAAGAGAAGTCATTTGATATTACTTACTTTTGACTGCTGAAAAGGTGTGCCCATTTGCCGATAATCGGCTTCTGACAATAATACTAACTTTGAACTCTATCCCATAGTAGACGCAGGATGATGTCGTATTTTCACGACAGAATTGACCACAGGCAGCCCAAATCCTCTGCGATCAGTTAAGCTATTTTATTTACCAGTGCGGCGGATCGGTAAAATAACCATACACCAACAATACTAATCGGCTCCTGACAACAAGCAAGATGCTGAAACCAAGTAAATTAGGTTAAAAGTATTTTTATTGAAAATTCCAGCGAAAGTTATCTTCTTTGAATCCATTTCCTGACAAATTCCTTAGGTTCACGTTTTGAGGATTGCGCAATATGATACCACACGTATCAAAGTATGTTTAAACTCTCAGACTGAGCTTGGGCTGTAAATTGACTAGAATAGGGTTGTAATTTCCCCGGGGGGCTACTTGGGTCAGTTTTTGCTGGGTATGTGCCGCTGGCCTCTTAAAGCCCCTACCCCATTATAGTCTATTCTGTGGCCAAGTATAGACCCCATCTCCGTCACTTTGGGGCAAAAATGTAATTTTTGCGATCCCAACTTAGTCACTTTTTATTTATGTATCTACCTTATATTGAACGAAAAACGCCATCAGTACAAACATTCTGGTACGTTTGCTTACTGTTAATATGAACAACCAAAAATCAGAAAATGTGCAACCCCATTCTAGTAATTATAATCTCTATTGAAAATGCGACCCCATTATAGTCAATCCAGTCGTGAAAATACGACCCCATCCAGCGGCACATCCCCATGAGCCTCTCATAAGGGAGTACCCTCCCCGGATGTAATTTCAACAGAATTACTAGAATGGGGTCTACATTTTCAGGAAAGGGGTAGGAAAGTTCTGGTACAGTATGTTGCCCAGTATCCGGCACTTCAGGTCAACATTGCAATAACTTTCCTTTGTTAGTCGCAAGAGCTCTGAAATTTGGCCCAGAGAAAATCTATTTAGTCCTTACTATGACGAAAGACAGTTAAACTTTTTTTGCCATTGTTTCCACGCGAAATTAATATTTTTGCAGAGCTCCTGTGTTGCCCCGTATCCGGACTGCTGGCCCAGTACAGTCAACTCTCGCCTTGCGGACACCCCGCTATAACGGACACCCCGATAATACGGACAGCAGCTAAATCCCCGGCAAAAGCAAGTTGCAGACGTTTGACTGAAATAAACTCCCGCTATTACGGACTCTCGCTAATGAGGACACCACCTCGAGGTCCCTACAGTGTCCGCTATAAAGGGAGTTGACTATATCAGGCCACAAAAAGAACAACGTAATTGTACATAAAATTTAACAGGTAAGCGACTTTAAAGCTTCTCTTGCACTTGCAAAGTAATCTGGCAATCGATTCCAAAAATATAACCTACATGATCGTAAAATAAAACATAACAAATGACTGGGGTATGG